GTGTTCCGCAGAGGAGGCTCTGCGGATCATGTGACCCCTCTGCGGATCGTAATAATGCGTTGAGGAAATGGTTGTTGGATGATCCGCAGAGCCCTCTCTGCGGATCGTAGAATAGCTCTGCGGAATTGTTTAATTTTCTGCGGAAATGTTAGTTTTAAGCATTAAATGAACTCATGTCGATTATATATGATTTTTTTAAGTTATTCTCGTTTTATATCCTTTTTAGTGACCATATTTCAATTTTATGAATGGTTTAATCAGTAGTAGTCATTTTTTCGTTATCTTTGTGGAGAGAGTTTTGTAAAAATGAGTTTTATTATTCTATGTACGGGAGGGTTGTGACAGTCAGTTAATGGAAATGAGGTTTACGTTAGAAATAATGTGAAAATCTATGGTTTAAATCTTCCTCCTAACTTTGACCATCATATGTTATTACAAATGGTTAGAAATAAGGCCGATATGTTTAATAGTTATATATCTTTGTCTTTTAAACACCCGAAGTGCGGGTATGTCATGGAGCTTGTACATGAATCAGATGTAGATCACCTGAAACATGTAATGTCTGAAACAAAGCTGAAAGTGCATTTGTATTTATCGTTAGTAGGTGAAGAAGTTGAAGAACAACCAGTGGTGAAAAGCCAGTTTATTGGAGCAAAAAGTAGTAGAGGTCGTGGAGATAGACAATCTGGTGGAAACCGGTCCAGGGGACGAGGAAATGAAGTGGGAGTGGGTTATTAAAAGAAAGCTTCAGTTGCTGATAAGTTTGTATCAAATAACGATAACGTTTTATCAGATGATGATAACGAACCAAATTTGCGCATGACAAAATTAGAACACCAAAATTTATTTGAGTTTGGAGAAGTACCTGATTTTGATGATCAATTATCTGATGAAAAATCAAATGAAGATTGGTCGGAAGATGAGTACACGCAACGAAAAATTGCTTTTAATCCCTGGTATTGTATTCCTCCTATTCATGATTGTCCAGAACCTATTCTTGAACCTGGACCATTTCACAGTTTAGGTCTGAATGATAAAATATTTGTGAATCAAACCTATAACACCAAAAAAGACCTAACAACTTCTATTAAATTCAAAGCGGTTAAAGAAAAGTTTCAGATTAAGGTTAAAAAAATCAAGCAAATCTCGATACGAGGTTGTTTGTTTGCAAGAAAACTGTCATTGCAGTTTATATGCAGCTGTCATTAAAGGAACTAAAATGTTTGAAATTAAGACTTTAAATAAGGAGCACACATGTTCTTCATTACTTATACACCCAAATCATAGGTAAGCAACTAGTGAAGTTGTGGGAACCATAATACATGACATTATGGGTCAAGGTTGTTTGAGAGTTTGGAGGCTTAAAGATATTATTATAGATATGAATGCGTTGCTAGAAATTAATTTGAATTATTCACAAGCGTGGCATGCTAGAGAATTTGCTATGGGATTGATGACGGGGACCCCCGAAGAAAGTTTTTCCAAACTTCCAATTTATTTTCACAACTTGAATAAACATAATCCTGGGACTGTGGCGTACATACAAACTGATCTGGAGGATCGCTTCGAGTATTGTTTTTTTGCTATTGGCTGGGTGGTAAATACATAAATTAAATTTTAAACTTTGTAAATATATAATGTTTATAAACAAAATAAATTGTTAATATATTCATGCTTTTTACATAATTGTTGCAGATACGTGCTTTCAGACGGTTTTGTAGAAAAGTTATTATTATGGATGGTGCCCATCTGAAGGGAAAATACAAAGGCACCATATTGCATGCAGTTGCTATGGATGACAACAATCAGATATTGCCTATTAGGTATGGAATTTGCCCAAAAGAGACAACGGATTCTTGGACATGGTTCCTTGAAAAACTACATGAATGCATTAGTGATTTGGAAGGTCTGACATTGGTCACGGATAGGGTTGCATCAATTGCTGTAAGTATTCAAAATGTTTTCCCAAATGCTCAACATGGCTTCTGTGGTTTTAATCTAATAGGAAACATAGTGCACACCTTTGGAAAAAATAAAAAAACAGCAATTTTGTTTTGGAAGCTTGTAAGAGCTTACAAGACCACCTAGACCTATACATGCCAAGTAAAGTTGCCCAAAATTCCCAATTCATCTCAAAACCTTTATAACACTTATGTTCCAAAAAAAGCGTCGTCTGGTTCTTACCCCATAATTTCCAAAATTCCTCATCAGTAGGCATGTAACTGTCCAATAGCAATTGTACGTTCTCTATAGTAGCGTCCGTCTTCGGTTTTCTTCCTATTTTGTTCTTCACTGGTTCTGTGGACGGAACCTATAAAATCAAAATGTTAAGTAATTTTTAACGACGATATAATTTATAAATACAAAGTAATTTATTTAATACATGTACGTAAGGCTCCCTACAATACTTCGATTTCATCTTCCCCCTCTTTTTCGGTGTAACCTTTACTGGTGTAACTGTGTTATCGTTAATTTCAACAACAATCGGCGGTGACTCCACATACGTAGCGGGTGACTCTTTCTCCAAACCACCAAAAATGTTTCATCATGGCCATCCACATTATCGAAATCATTCACACCAAATTGTCTTTCATTTTCCCATTTGTCAATTTTCTTCGACGCCTGCTCGATTGTGGTTGCCAAATGATTAACAACGCCCATTAACTTGTCTATTTTACTCTCTTGTGAGGTGTTGTGCTCTGCGCCCCGACCATGAGCGGGTGAGATGATGTAATCTGCTTCCTGGAACCGATTGACTCGAGGTGATAGAGAGCGCTGTTTAGGGGGGCTATGTTGCATCGGTGGAGACTCCACTCCGTCCAAAGTGCAACTCAGATAACGCGAATAAAATGACAATTGGATCTCAAATTCCGTTGCTTCCACATCACGTGGAATGTTGTTTTCCTGCAAAATAAAAACATTAATTTTAACTACATATCAATTTTTTACTATATATAACTTTATAAGGAATGTATAACTATACCACTGGCACGTCTAATATACGTAAACATTGCTCGACAGTTAATTGTGTTTTTATTCTACATGCCCTCATTCTTGGAAATTCATTTGCGGTGTGATGGGCATACCTCAAAGCTTCTGGAAATGTCTCTAAAATCCATACGTAGTATAACTTTAACATGCTATGATTTGTCGATGATTATAAAAACTTTAAAATGTGTAATATTAATTGCACGTAAACTAACCTTAAACGGGAGGTGAAAACCGGTCACCGTATACTTCAACGTCTTCACGGGACTCATATTGGCTTGATCTCGTAAACATCTGTAGATTTTCCCAAACCAAAGTCGTAATTGTGTTTCACTATACCTCCATAAAAACGTACCCCACGCAAACCTGTCGTACTCATTATAATTAATATGAATAATCTTGTAGTTATAAATAAATAGTAAATTTACTACTTGTTCCAATTATAAAGATTATCGGCGAGGTCAAACACTACCGTCAGAATGCATGTATTTGTATCACGTCCTATGAGACCTCTCAACAAAAACAACATATTCATAAGCATTGCCGCATCATCATCGCTACAAGTCTCGAATGTTGGCCCTTTTTATGTAGTCTTCTATATCTTTCAGCCGTAAATCTTCATCTCTCAAATTTGGGAACAACCGAATCTGGAATGCAGATTTCGTTTTGTGTTTTGTATTGATTACATAAACATAAGGTCCAAATCTCAAACCGCTAATCAAACAAAATTCGGTTTCACCATATTCCACCACCCTGCCTTGTAACTCGAACCGAAACCTCCCAGCCCTGGCTATCAACACATCACGAACCTCATGCAACGTCATCAAATGAAAGAGCATCGGATCACCATTCAGGGTTGGCATACCAATGAAGATCCCAAACGGTGTCTCTCGAAATAATTCGAGTCGCCTACTATTTAGTTTTGGAATGAACTTCCTCAACACAGTACCCACCACCCCTTTAAAAATTAACTCTGCAAGCCATCCTCGCATACTATGCTGCAAAAGATAACACATATATATGGCAAAGTACAATGTTGTAATAACAAAAACGAAAGTAAAATGCTATAACAAAACAAAAAATAGCAAGGTACTTTCAGTCCATTCTTTATTAACATGTGAAATTTAATTAGTAATCCAATTTTATAATTTTTTTTAATAATTATTGTTATTTAATAATCATTTTTTATAATTTTAAATCATTATAATTGAAAAAACAGTAAATAGACAATAATGCCCTTGCCTTCTAAACTTGTTAATAGCAATGTACTTTGATAATCTTTTCTAATAATTTTTGTTACTAAATAATCATTTTTGCATATAAAATCAAAATCAAAATAAAAAATAAATAAATAAATAACTTTCGTAGAGATGAACATCGATCCGCAGAGGGGGCTATGCGGATATGTTATTCATCGAAACACGTCTGCGGATCTGTTCTTCGCAGAAAAGATACTTCCATAGCAATAATCGGGCAAACATTTTGGGATTTACTAATACAAACTATCATACATAATTTACACACCATTGATGGAGGAAAAATAAAGCTACGAACATATAATTAACTCAAAAAAACGGACAATTACAATTCAAAAGGAGGAAAAATAAAATTACATGTGTTCCATAGCCATCAGATAACACATCGGAGTGTAGTTGTTCCACAAGCCACGATTTACGCACCATTGAAATGATCGATTAAGCGCGTTCGACTCGTCTCCTTCGTCTTTCCGCAATAAGGTACGAGGTATGTGGTTGTTTTCGCAATGTAGGGGTATTCGACCGATCCTCAGAAGATCCGCAGAGCAAATAGAAGATCCGCAAGAGACGCCTCTGCGGATCCTTAAAATCCCCCCAAAAAAAATGTTGCCACCTCATTTCCGCAGAGGTGTGGATCGATTCTCAGAAGCTTTAATTGATCCGCTGTGCGGATCTTGTGGTCATTAAAAAAAACCTTGATTTTTGTGGTCAAATTGTTAAAAAAAAAAAGAAATTTCTCTTTTTTTTTTTGAACGGCATATGTAGTAGCTGTAGCAGTAACTCTGGAGGAGTTAGGAGTAGCTGTGTCACACGTAGTCGGCCCTTATTTCTCTTCTTCTAAATCGGTAATCCAATACATATAATCTATTTGGGATATTGATTTTGACATGCGATTGTACTCGGTATCTTGCGTTTCTGTTAGAAATGTATGAATTTGTGCATTTCTTTCTTTCTGTTATGCTAGTGTTGTGGAGCATGAAACTGTAATTGTGACAATTTGACTATTTTCGTGATTTTGGTAGTGAAGTAAACAATGTGGAAACTGAAGATCGCAGAGGGAGGGAGTCCATGGCTGCGTTCGACAAACGATCACGTCGGCCGACAATTTTGGGAGTTTGATCCCACGCTAGGGTCCCTTGAGGAACTCGCCGATATCGAGAAAGTTCGACAGACCTTTCATGAAAATCGGTTTGAGAAAAAACACAGTTCAGATCTGCTTATGCGCAGTCAGGTACATTGTAATTAACGCCACATGTTTTACAAACCGGACTGCGGCTACAACATTTGTTTTTAGAAACGAAAATCCATTTGTAATTGATGTGCACAATCAATTTTAGAAAAAACTCAATATGTTCTTTTACGTAGCGAGAAGCCTTTTGTTTTGAGTAGTTGGGGTTATGGAGTTTTGAGTGTTGAAGGTTTTTGACAGCAGAGATTCTTTAATCCCAAGATTTGAAAAGTAAAGAAATGGAATCGAGTTAAAATGTTAAAAAGTCAAAATGCGTAGATGGTCCCTAAGCTATACATTACAAGGTATAAGTCATATTGCGTAGATGAGGTTGAATTACATGGTTGGTGATTCCAGCACAACGTCAGATATGATCGATCATAAAGATACAAAGTACAAGTCATATGGCAGAACTGGATAACGAAGTAATAAATGATACGGTCCTACCTTTAGTTGCCATCATTCTGTCCTCTCAATTGCATTCCTTGATCTGCCTTATCTAGGTGTGGACCTGTGGCCTGAAATAAACAGAAGGGTAAAATTTGCATGTGATATGTAAAAAAAATCCTAAATTCTGGGTTAGTTGGCTACTTGATAACATGATGTAATGATGAACTATGAAGGTGATAGATTTTTACTGATTGGTTAACCGAATTAGTTACTTATGGGATGATGGTTAGGTTTGCTGGGAACAAAATTCAAAGCAGCCCTCATATAGACATAGTATTACTATATCCTGCCATATTATAGGATATGAGTTCTACTGCTGACTACTGTCTTAACCAATTCTCCACTGTGTTGGCTTGGCTAATGGCAGACTTACAGATATTGAAATGCCTTTATCACATCAAGTGGTGAAAATACCTAGATTTCTTTATTACATAAGCGCTTAACTTTGGTTCTTCTACTTCTAGTGTATGTTTGCAATCTAATACTATTTTGTATTTCGTTTTACCAAATTTTGTAGTTTGCAAAAGAGAAGTCACTCTCTGTATTCCCACCTAGAGTGAACATAAAAGATGCTGAAGATATCACAGAGGAGAAAGTAAGAAACGTCTTACGAAGAGCTATTGGTTTCCATTCAACCCTCCAGGCAGATGATGGGCATTGGCCAGGAGACTATGGAGGCCCTATGTTTTTATTGCCTGGTTTGGTGAGTTTTAGCATTTCTTTTATGGTTTCTTAAGTTGAAAAGAATATATCCATTCGTGTGAGAGTGGCAACTCTATTTTAGCTTTCCAGTATTGCAGCTGTCAGGATTTTATCTGCAGGAAATACATTACCTTCTTCAGGAGATGAACAAGTAATGTAAATGCTGACATTACAAGTTAATCTTATGCATCAGGTTATTACTCTAACTATTACTGGGGCACTGAATGCAGTCTTATCTAAAGAGCATAAACGGGAGATGTGCCGTTACCTTTACAATCATCAGGCATGTGTAGTATATTTGTTATAATCCTTATGATAAACATATAGCTGTGGTTGCTTTTCATTACCCTTTACAAAGAATATAACAGAATGTTATGTCATAAATGCAGAATAGAGATGGTGGATGGGGTCTACACATCGAGGGTCATAGCACCATGTTTGGTAGTGCCTTAAACTATGTCACTTTGAGATTGCTGGGTGAAGGAGCTAATGATGGAGAAGGGGGGGCGATGGAGAAGGGGCGAAAGTGGATTTTGGATCATGGTGGTGCCACTTCAATAACATCTTGGGGAAAGTTTTGGCTTTCAGTATAGCAACTTGCCCTTCATCTTGTTCATATATAATTCTTTGTTACCTTACCTTACCTATATATATATATATATATATATATATATATATATATATATGTATTCAGTATTCGTCTTATATGTTGCTAATGATATATGTATATATAGGTACTTGGGGTATTTGAGTGGTCTGGAAATAATCCGTTGCCCCTGAGATGTGGGTCCTTCCATATTTCCTTCCTGTGCATCCAGGCGAGTGCCTCATATAACCTACTAATTTATTTCAGTTCACTACAAGATAAATTCATCAGTTTAGTAGTAAATTATGACTTATTTCATTTATAGCAACATTTATACTTGATCAGTACAATAGTTGTTGTATTGGCTTAATTATACTTGATGAAGTTTCATGGATAAATTTATTGAGTTTGTTGTGGATATTATTATATAGCTCATGACATGAGATGTTGGACATTTAAAAAATTTCAGGTAGGATGTGGTGTCACTGCCGGATGGTGTATCTGCCTATGTCATACTTATATGGGAAGAGGTTTGTTGGACCTATCACATCTACGGTTCTGGCCTTGAGAAAGGAGCTGTTTACAGTCCCCTATCACGACATAGATTGGAATGATGCACGCAACCTCTGTGCCAAGGTTTGTATAATGCTTTGATATTTGCTTCACATATTGAATTTTATAAACGTCTATGGTTATCTCTTTCCGATCAGACTATCATCTAACAGGACTTGGTGGTCTTTCTATTTATTATTATAATTACAATATAATGAGAATCTTTGTGATGTACCCTATTAGTGAATACCTCTTTTCTCCTTTTCTTGTTTGTGGTGTCTTAGTGAATCACCATTCACCATTAGTTTTCTTCTAGCAAATATTTTGCAAGTCCAATTTCTTCAAACTTCACATTGGTTTTTATTCTCTTAATCTTCAATCTCAGTTTATTGTTTACGAGTTTCAGAAAGGTGTATTTGTCTTTTGGCATCTCGTATTTCAAGATTACAGTTACCCAAAACAACAACCAAAAGAAAGACACTTGAAGTGTCATTTTTCATCTTTTCACACACTGAAAGATGCATATACAGATACAAGTACCGATCTTCATTCTACTTAATACAACAACTTTTAGTATCTTATCATCATTTTTTTTTTTAATCTCCAGCATTCCCTTAATTATGCTTTCATCTGTTGCTGTTCCTTGTTTGACCTGTTTTGAATAGAGTAATTTCATTGATAGTCAAAATCTTTGTCGAGCATGTGCATGTACAGAAGATATTGGACTATAAACCGTTTATGGATCAATTGATATCCGGCATCCAACCTGCCTTATGGTTCTTTCTTTTCTCACGTGACGTGTGGTTTTAGATGAGCTTCCTTGATTGCAAGGGTTGTTAATTTGCTTGCCTTACATTCTACCCCCTCAAGTATTTGCAGTTTACATGTCTTTGTTGTTTTTGATCTTTGAGAGTTTTATTTACTTATTTCTTATATCACCACCATTGAATCCTTGGGTAAAATAAAACCCCAAATTACAATCAACACTATCCAATTTTGGTTTTCTGCTCGTAATCAAGAACCAAGTCTTACTATACATGAGCTTGGCTTCACATACTGTATAGTAGCAAGTGTGTGGTCTTCTGCTCACACAAATCAATACAATCTTTAATTGTTTTCCTACACCAAGTTGTGGGTATATGGTATTAGAGCATCTCCAGTAGGAGCTTATTTTATAGCTTTTTACTATTCAATTGACCACTTATCACCACTTAATGCCATTGGAGGGTATAACTTTTTTGTTTATTTTTATTGACCACTCAAGTAAAATATATACTATAATGTTTTGTACATCTAACCCCTTCCTCTCTAATCATATTTTATTTTTACCCCCCTTAGTTATATTCTAGTTTTAAGTATTTTATATTTCTTCAACTAAGTTATTATTTCTTTTATAAATTTTCATTTGTGAAACCTTCATATATTAATGTCTAGCGCTTAAATTTCGTATTAAAATATGATGTGTTCAAAAATGACTAACTAAATGGGATCAATATGTTAAATTCATTAAAAAGCTATTGGAAGAGGTTAACCATTGGAGATGTTATTTAATTAGAGGTCAAAATTAATAGAATAATGATGTGACAATAATATTAAGTTGGAGTATAGGTTTACCATTGGAGATGCTCTTAGATCTTACTCTTGGATAAACTAAGTCAACAAATGGGATTAGTTGGTGATTGCATTGAGCTAGCTATGATCCTGGTTGAAATTTCCAACTTAATGAGTCATGCCACCGTCTGCGCTTGGTGACTGGTTACAACTCTCATGATTTGAGCCAATTGGTCATTTTGTAAGCCCAATTTCTTTTCCAGATACCATTTTTTATTTGAAGCAGTGGTGCTCAGATCAGTTGACTAGTTGGATTGCCATTGTGGATTATTTAGGGACTTGTTCAATCTGCTTGGTATTTCTTTTATCACATTCTTGTGTAAAAGTTATGGTAAATACTGCCAAAGATCTTTAATGAACGTGCAAGCAGTTCATTTTTGTGTGACATGACCTATGACAGAGGCTTACACAATTCTTCTCTCTAGTCATTCCAATCTTGGATTGGCAAATATGTGGTTGATAATGGTAATTTGTAATGCTTTGTGGAGAGCTTTATAGCCTGACATCAATGATATTGCTATGATGTTTTTGGTTGTTGCCTATTTATGGTTCGACTAGCACGTTCCATGCTTATGTAGCCTCTAACCCATACTCCTCATGTGCTCATAGGGTGATTGCTATCTCTTTGAGTATTAGTAGCTAAGCTAAAGGTGAACTTCATGTTGTAACCTTCTTTTCCTTTTTTTTTTGGTGGGTAGAGGGGGCTGCACATGCTTCTTTATGCCTATGCTTAAACAAAAACATGCAATTTGTCTATTCAATGCTTTCTCGAGATATTTATGGAGTGCAAGCCGTCTCGTAGGATAGACAAGTCTTGATAGGGACATTAGACAATGATCTAGTTGAGGATTTATTGAGTGTAACAAATGCTCAAGTAGAGGTATAGATTGTAGAAACTCGTGTAAGATATTGTTGTTATTGTCACAAGCCTAATCATACGAACATGACGTGTCTGGGTTAGATGATAAGCAATTGCAACATACATTGCTTCAATTTAGTAACCCTCATACCTCATGTCTCATGACTCAAACCTAAATTGTTAAATCACCACTCTTACGTTTATGACCAAGTCATGTTATTCTCTTGCGTTAGTGCATCTTCTTTTCCTAGGAATACACATACATTTTGTTGCACTATGCCACATAAACATAATGGGGAATATTGTTATGCTATCACTCCATCCAATTTCCTGTCAAGATAGCCAATAGAACAATAGAAGTACTAGTATTCAACAGCTTGAGTACTCCTATAGAAGGAACAGGTTTGTTAATTCTATTGTCATTCTCTGTGCTTCCTTTTATAAGAAAAACCACCAACGGTGGTGGTGGTTGCCTAAAATGACCCATTTCACACCATTTCCAAGACTAGCGGTTTAATCAATCCACTGTAGCAACTGTATTTCTTAAAGAGACAATACATCTCCATGGGATCCCCCAAAGCATCATATCTGAGAGGGATTCCAAATTCTTGGGCTACCTTCATGAAGCTATTGGACACCTGCAGCATCCTATTTTAGCACTTGTCAGTATTAACTCCATGGGACACCCCCTACTCTAATGAATGACATTGGGCCTTTTTCTGCTTCCCATGATCTAATTACAATTACATGCACATATTCAACAATCAACATATGTGTGTGCCCAGCACTTTTGGTGCACATAGATCAGCCATGCAAGGCATGATTTGTCTCCATTCTCAGCTCATTTATCACCACAAAGATACATTTCAACAAAAGTGGCAGGAAATGCTTCCCACAGTACCTTTTTGTACCTGTTTTCATCTCATTGCTTGAGTTTTAGGGGTCAATTCCTTGTTCCCTGTATTCCAGATTTTGTTTTATCATTGTTTAGAAATTGTCTACTAAACTTCTCTATGAATAGAGTCTAATGGTTTGTAATAGTCAGTGCCCCAAAGATATATGAAAATTAATAGAAAACAACCTTATTTTCTGGAAATCTTCATCTTCCTTTAGAGATCTTGATCTTGGTGGTCTTCCCTTCCTTCAGAACTTAGAGTTTGTATTGTTTAACTGCAAGAAGCATGACATGGTTTCATCATCCAATTTTGAATTGAAGTGTTTAGCATAACTGAACATTGAAACCCCACAAGAACTTTCAATCAAGTATTGACACCTCACATGTATGTTCATAATTGAACATTGAAACCCCACATATAATCCCACTTGAATTTGATTATCCCACATTAGCTAGTATTGAGCAATAAATAATGTCCCACATAGTTCATACTTTCTCATGCAACCCATGTTGAGGTTTAACGTACTGGCCTTGTTTCCCATTCCCTTTTCAAGCATTTGGTGTGTCTGAGTTGAGTTATTGAATTAGTGTGTGATGTACTCTTCCTGTTATCTTAGAAGGTCTTATGAGGTAAACAAACAGTCTTTTCCTCAAATGTCTTTCCGCCTGCATTTTGCATATTGCTGTCAATCCCAGAGAGTAACAATTAACTCCAACATTGTTAATATCTGTATTTTTTTTTGTTCAATATTTCGATAAGGATGATAAATTCCATTTGGCTTAAGATATTTAAAAATATTTTTGTGCAGGAAGATCTTTACTACCCACACCCACTCATCCAAGACATACTTTGGGCAACTCTTGACAAGTTTGTGGAGCCTATACTGATGAGATGGCCTGGGAAGAAGCTGAGAGAGAAGGCTCTTCGCACTGCGATGGAACACATCCATTATGAGGATGATAATACTCGCTATATATGCATAGGGCCTGTAAACAAGGTAAACAATACCATTATAATCTAAAAATAATTTGTGGATGGTTTTGATTTGATATATGGAAAGCCTTCCCTTTCTAATCTAAAACCTTTTCTTCAGGTGTTAAATATGCTCTGCTGCTGGGCAGAAGATCCAAACTCAGAGGCTTTCAAGCTACACCTCCCAAGGATACATGATTATCTTTGGCTTGCTGAAGATGGCATGAAAATGCAGGTTTTACCATCTTAATTACTTTGATTAAATTTGATTTGTTCTGTCTGCATGTATTAGTATCAGAGTGTAAATGAATTTCCATCATCTAACCCACCCAGGGTTACAATGGTAGTCAACTTTGGGATACCGCATTCACCGTTCAAGCAATTATTTCTACAAACCTCATCGAAGAGTTTGGTCCAACACTGAAAAAAGGACACATGTTCATAAAGAAGTCACAGGTGCTGAAAGATACATACGACGTTCAACTTTTGAACCATATTTGGTTGTCCTTGTTTCTTGACTTTTTTTTTTTTTTTAATTGCATTTGCTTCAATCAAAGGTGTTGGATAACTGCCCTGGCGATCTTGATTATTGGTATCGTCATATTTCAAAAGGTGCTTGGCCTTTCTCAACGGCAGATCACGGATGGCCCATTTCAGATTGTACTGCAGAAGGGCTCAAGGCAGCTAACTATTTATTATTTATTTATTTATTTATCGTATTCAAGCTGTCCATAATATAAATATTATTATTGCTTCCAGTTTTGTTTTTTTTATTTTCTTTCTTTCTTTTAGGCGGCACTCTTGCTTTCAAAATTGCCATCAAAAATTGTTGACGAGCCATTGGATGCAAAACGGCTGTATGATGCTGTCAATGTTATTTTATCTTTACAGGTAATCATATTCTGAAAACCTTGTGCTCGGCTGTTTACACCTTAGTTTTTGAGCATAACATGATTTTCAATGTCTGACAAGTTCTTTCCTTTGCAGAATTCTGATGGTAGTTTTGCAACATATGAACTTACAAGATCCTACAGCTGGTTGGAGGTACCCCACCCATGCACTTGCTTATTAATATGTTCTATTCTATTATCACACTCGCCAGTCGCCACAAATATTTATTTACTATTTAGTTAGTTAGATTGATATTAGCACACCATTTTATTATGTAATCTGACATTTCTAATTGTCTCTATAATCCCACTTCCAGTTGGTGAATCCTGCTGAAACTTTTGGTGACATTGTTATTGACTACCCGTAAGTTATCAGGACCTGTTTTCCAATTTTCGTTTTTTTTGGGTGAAGTTGGGTTACCAATGGCAATGGCAATGGCAATGTGATGTATCAGATATGTAGAGTGCACCTCGGCTGCGATTCAAGCTCTGGTGGCATTCAAGAGATTGTACCCTGGGCATAGGCGAGAAGAGGTACAGCGTTGTATTGATAAATCTGCAGCCTTTATCGAAAAAATCCAAGCACCAGATGGTTCATGGTTTGTTTTGCTCCTTATTGTTGTTACATTCTTTTTGTATATGTGCCAATGCCATTGTCCACTCCATGCACATAAAATATGAATTTGATCAAAAGCTTTTGCAAAATGCTGACTAGGTATGGTTCGTGGGCAGTTTGCTTCACGTATGGCACATGGTTTGGAGTGAAAGGCTTAGTGGCTGCTGGAAGGAACTTCTCTAACTGCTTTAGCATTCGCAAGGCTTGTAACTTTTTGTTGTCCAAACAACTTGCTTCTGGGGGATGGGGGGAGAGCTACCTCTCTTGTCAGAACAAGGTAACTAGTTATTAAAATTTCAGTTTAAGTCGATAACAAGCACCAAAACTGATTAGGTCACGCTGCGTTCTAAATCTATGCAGGTGTACACCAATCTTGAGGGAAATCGCTCTCACGTGGTAAACACGGGATGGGCTATGCTAGCTCTCATTGATGCTGAGCAGGTATGCATCCAAACCAAATTCACATCATTTTAGACTTTAGTTTTGGTTTCAGATGCCAAGTAAGAAGGAAATTTTATCTGTGAATCAAAAAAGAAAATTGTATAATCTAAATGTTCCCGGTACACATAACAGAAGGATTATGGCAGGTATATCTTAGCTTCTAACAACCTGTAGTAATGATTATGAACTCTCCTACAAGCTGGTAAATAGATATTTTCCATTCCCAGCTTGGAATGGATACAAACTTGTCAAAGTCAATTGGTCCGTATCCGTTTCTAAGAATGTAATGTCAGCGACCAAACCACTTTTTAGCTAATTCTGTTGATGAAGTAACTTTATCATGTTGGTGGGGTTATCGGTATGAGATATTTGTTAATTGTTATCACTTAATCGTCAAATCATCAAGGAATGAATGATTTATGGCTAAAGTAGAGCTTGCAATGCATGCTGGCCCACTGACCGGAGTTGAGTCTCTAGAGTCTAGCCTCCCTCCAAAATTTTAACGCATTATTGATCCCCTTCCTTGGTGCTTGAGCAACCATATTTTGTTTCACACTTGTCCACATGACAATCCACCTAGAAAACCAGTGTGATTGATGTCTTTGAGATGTGTTTTGCTGCTTGTGCATTATGGCTAATCAAATTAACTAGGGTGTTGCTTCTATGTTGTCCGAGCTTTGACATTGTGATCAAGCTCTTGCTAACACTTAATGGTCAAAGACAAACAAATATCATGTGCTATGCTATGATCCAAAATCAATGCTTAAATAATGCCTTTTAGGCCGAATACCCTCCCTCCCTCCGAATATTTCCTGCATTATCATCTGTGTAAATCTTCTATATTGAGCTCAAAGTTTCTTCCTTCATTTATCTAGGGTGAATTGTGCTTTTGGCTATTACAATGTAAGTCACTACCACCAATTCGTGAAGTAAATTTGGTGCTTTTGTTGCCAAGATTTATTCTGCTTAGGTAGGTCGTTGACAATCTCAAACTCCAACTGCTGTTAAGCTCATCTATTTCGCAGTTATCCTTGAAAGCAATCAACATACTTCATACTTCATACTAATAGATAGATAGTGTCCACAGATTCATAGTGAATTTCGATGGATGGACTACCTAAATTGATTCCTTTTTGTCGATAACCTTTAATTGCATCAATTTCGAATAAAGCCGTTAGTGATCATAAAGACATCAAACCTCTTGTTGCATTTTTGTATAACGATTTCCAAGTAAGTATGTGCATATAAATTAAGGCTTGGGAATCTTTATGTTGCTTATGACCAAACACGAAATCCCCAAGAGTGTTTGATGTTGTTTGTATATATGGCTAACATAAATGATAAATCTTGCAAACTATGCATGCTTGCTTGTGGTAATTGCTTAAGGCCACACATTGTCTTTTAAGATGGATGGATGGATGACACATATTCCTGTGTGAAAATTAAACTTAGCCAGGTTTATTTTATATTCCCAATCCCAAGATCTGCACCTAATTTTGTAATAAGCCTAAGTAACCTAATAAATACATAATAGAATTTATTTTCTAACACAACTGTAGATAAGTTTCAAAATAATGTAAAGCTAATAAAAGTTTCTAATTAAGTCAAGGGTGAATTTATGTATACCTTTCCAGAAATTATTCAAGTTCCAAACTTTTTGTCAGGCCAAGAGAGATCCAACGCCATTGCACCGTGCAGCAAGAGTATTGATTAATTCTCAGATGGAAAATGGAGATTTTCCACAACAGGTAATAATAATCCCTTGCCAATAAACTTATTATCTGCACATGTGGATTTTAATGTACCAGGACGCCCAAAATACAGAATAACACTTGTACTTTCACCATCTTTATCCATTTACTCACTTTAACTATTTTCCGTAGTAATTAAGCCGTTAGACTTTTTTTTTTTTTTTTTTTTACCCTTTTAACAAAAAAAAAAAGCATTTTTCACGGTTACAATGGGTTAAATACAGAAATCACAACATATTTTCATCATTCAACTATTACTTCTTTATGATCGTTATAATAATAGTAAAAATAATCTTTTACTGCCTAAATCGATTAGATGGTGAAAGCACATTGTGTTTTAGTATTTTGTTCTATATCAAAGTCAGAAAATATGTTTTTATTTTATTTTTTTAAATAGTCAAGAAAATACAAGGGTTTGATAAGTACACAAAATAGTTAACCGCTTAAATTGATAAATTGTGAACTTGTAAGTGTTTCTTTTGTATTTTTCCCTAAAACGTTGGGTACAATGTGGGGTTCAAACACACACTAAAGTGCATATTCACATGATCAATCAAAACCACACTTATCATGTTTAAAAGGGAAGGAGTTCAACATGTTTCATGACATATCTTTTCAACACATTAAAAAAGTCCAATTTGACAAATTTCAAGCATGAAGATGCTTTTTGATTGCTGGATTTGTTTAGTTTGGTTGGAATTGGAGTTCAATTCCATTCCGGCGTTTAGTTGCAAATGAGTACGGAATTGGAATCCACAAAATCCTTTGACTAACAGATTTCAACATCCATACAAAAACCCATGTAATCTAATTCCAAGCATTTCCTCATTGTTAAAAAAAAAATACCCAAATATCCTTTTATTTTTAAAATGGTCACTTAAATATTTATAATGATTTGTCTGTCAAAAAGTACCCAGATACCCTTTAAAATCAGGTCAATATGTTTTAAAAAATATAATTAAAAAGTTAAATTTGAAAAATGTAAAGCGAGAGGGGGGCTTTCTGTTTGCTGGATTTCATTTGATTTGGCCAGAATTGGAATTTAATTCCATTCCGGTGTTTGTTGCAAAGGATCCACAAAATCATTTGACTAATGGATTTCAACATTCCATTTTAAAACCTATGAAATTCAATTCCAAACATTTGACTAACAGAATTCAATTCCTCTTTGTTAGAAGTACCCAAATTACCCTTTTATTGTTAAAATATGGTAACTTGTATATTTATAATTTATTTGTATACCTAAAAATAGTTTTAAATATATTTTTTTAAAAAAAAGTGGTATTTCTATCCTAATGTTTAATTTATATTTTTTAATTAAAAATAGTTTTAAAAAAATAATCAAATCCATTTGTGCAGGAGATCATGGGGGTTTTTAACAGGAATTGCATGATTACTTATGCTGCCTACAGAAACATCTTCCCTATTTGGGCATTAGGAGAATACAGATGTCGAGTACTTGAGGAGAAATCCATGCTAAGCTAAATTTAAATCTATATGTGTTGGAATTTAATCTTCTATTCATTCAAATCGAGAAGAAAGGTTTGAAATGGTCTCTTTTATTATAACTATTCAATGCTGATGTGTTTGAGCAACTGAAGGGATGAGGTGGTTCTGTCAAAAAAAAAAAAAAAAAAAAGGATTTCTTGTTTTCATTGATTTTTTGTATGGTTTTAGATATTTTACATTGTTGGGGACCACCTTCCTAGTATGAGTATGACGTTAATTATATTTATATTGTGTGCCCGGTTGGTTGAATACTCTTCTGCTTCCATAACTGCAAATTTGTACATTAAATTGTATCTCTATCATATATATTTTACATAGTCGTCCCGTCCCATTTCCATTTGCTTGTTTTGGCTGTAAGTGGGTGAGAATGGATATAAATAAGGTCTGAGGTTCAAATATCAGTACGACTTTCTTCTTTCATGTTTTCATGGGTCATCAAGGGTAGCCGTAACCCTTTTCATCTTGTACAAGTTTAAGACAATGTCAAATGGGTCGAATAAATTCTAACAAGTGGTCTTATAAAATATAAATATACATATGCGAGATATTTGATAATAAAACAATATTGTTATTGCTAAACAAGATATTGATAACAAAATGATATCCGGAAGAGAATTAAACAATAGTCGTTTAAATAGTATCTTCTTGAATTAAACTCGACGAACAATTAGTATAAACATTTTGGAAAAGGATAATCTGAAAATCTAAGCATTTTGAACAAGTGGATAGAGAAACACTGCAGGGTTTTTAAGACAGACCAAACATTTGGGATATTAATATTTTTTAAATGCCTAACATTTAAATTCTCCTTTGCTATTTATATAGAAAACTTCAAACTTTTCTTGATCTTGATACATGCCACTGAAGATATCACCGAATATTATGTTAATTGTTGCAGTAACGGTTGACAATGCATCTTTCAAAATGTGCATCTTGATGGTAACTTTTGACAAAGTTCCCTAAATTCTTGTGATCAATGGTTGTGATGACTTCCTTTGACAAAACGCTTGAATTCTTGTGATTAATAATTATCATAAGAGAACAAACACCAATAATTATTTTGAGACAAAAATTGAAAATTGGTCCCTATGATTTATAAAATTTATACAAAGACAAAAAAGTTTTTAACTTGCATGGAAGAACCAAAATCGAGAATTTCTTATGATTTTGGTCCTTAAAAAATTTGAAAAGACTATTTTGTCCTTCTAATTTCTTTTTAATATTATATTAATAATTTATTAATAATTTATTAATTAAAAACAAACGAAGCCCTTCCATACTCATCGTCTCTCTCTCTCTCTCTCTATATATATATATATATATATATATATATATATATATATATATATATATATATATGTGTGTGTGTGTGTGTGTGTGTGTGTGTAACATCCATAAAAATCATGCCAATTTAAAATTTTTTAAAGCATTCAAAAACCAATAGTTATTACAAATTGTTTTCAAAATAGTTTCATATCAGAGTATCCCAGAAATCAAAATCATAAAATGTGAGGAGGTGCACGATCACGCCTTCGCCTTCCCGCGATCATCTGAGGTACCTGAAACAAAATCAACAACTGTAAGCCCGAAGCTTAGTGAGTTCCTCCAAAATACCAACGTCATACAAACCATAACAATATCATACAAACAACATGCGTATATATAGAGTCTACAGTACGACTGGTCCGCCCTCACCGGGCCTTCAGTCTACCTGGTCCACTCTTAGAGTATTCAGTATGACTGGACCGCCCTCACCGGGCCTTCAGTCTATCTGGCCCACTCTCAGAACCTTCAGCATGTCTGGTCCGCCCTTCTGGGCCTTCATCCTGTCTGGACCATTCTTCGGGCCTTCGACCTGACTAGTACGCCCTACCGGGTCTGCAGTCTATCCGGGCCGCCCTGGGTATGTTGGCCTAGAGTACAAAGCAGGACCGCCTCAACTCAACCCCCAATCACACAATCAACACATAAATATCATACGATAGTTAGCATGTACATATAATCATACAGATTTAACATATCACTAATCATAGCATCATCCTATATATCAGGATACCGATCTAACCGATCACTAAACATAGCATCATCCTATAACAAGGATACAGATCTAACAGATCACTAACATAACATCATCCTATAACTAGGATACAGGTCTAACAGATCACTAACATAACATCATCCTATAACCAGGATACAAACCATAAAGGGTTGGCCTTGGTGCCTTAGACCCTGTTGATATAGTGAGAAGAACTCACCTTACAAGTAGCACCGAATGATAATGTCAAACTCCCAAACACAGCTCTAAACTCAAACACCTACAATCATCATAGGACCAATTCCATCAAGACCCAAATTACCAAAGTACCCTTAAAAGTCAAACTTGGTCAACCATTGGTCAAAGTCAAAGTCAACGGTCAAGGTTAACAGTCCATGTTGACCCAACTCGTCGAGTTCATCTACTGACTTATCGAGTTCCTTCAAAACTCAGAGACCGAAAAATCGAGTCGATTCGCCGAGTTACCAAACAACTCGTCGAGTCCATGCAGTGTCCAGAGGGTTCAGGAAAACCCTAACCAACTCGTCGAGTTGGCTATGCAACTCGTCGAGTTCCTTCAACCCTTTTCTCATTCAGACGCTTTTAAGCTAAACCAAGGCTCCAAACTAAAGATCTAGCTTCCTAGGGTGTATTTACCACGTAAAGTTGCTAACTTTATGTAACACCCGTCAAAATTAGGTCAATAACAATCACATGTGATTATGCCAATCATGTAATGTGATTTTGTTAAACTAGTAAAGTGACAAACTTACTATGTAATTCGTGATAAATTCTAATACAAGTATGAACTTTTATGATACAACTCAAAGTATACGTCCGTACGATTCCAAAAATATAGAGAACGTCTAAATCTGACTTCGCGTGAAGAAGTTATGATAAACCGAACACTAAAAATCTATATAATAAGAGGAATTTAAAATAGACTTAGAATTAGCTATTGGAGTCTAAAAGAGAGTTGTAGTACTCGTAAATACCTACGCGTTCATATAAAGAACGTCAAAAACGGAGTTCATATGCAAAAGTTATGACCTTTCGAAGTTACAGCTGTCCGAGAGCACGACACGTGTCAGAAACCCTAATCTGACTGGACTCACGACGTGAGCATAAAAACTCACGACGTGAGGAGTCAAAACGCCACATTTCGAAGCTAGAAGTCTATGGAATGATAACCCAAAATCTCACGACGTGAGCAAGGATTACTCACGACGTGAGGACGCTGCAGGACACGGATCGAGGCTAGAAAACACCTGGGAAGACTACGGGATGACTCTTGCGATGACTCACGACGTGAGTCTTGATTCTCACGACGTGAGAGGGCCAAAATCAGCCTATAAATAGCAATAGAGACCCATTCTTTCATTACACCTTCTACTTTCTTTCTCTCTCGTTTCCGAAGGCCGTTTTCCTTCCCGAGCCTGACTACGACGAGCCTCTGACCGTTTAGATTCTATAGATCACGCTACTAGGGTGAGTTTCACGGCCCCACTTTCTAATATTTCGGGGGAAAACGCATGCTAAATATTATATATACGTTATTATTATGTCTATATGATAGTATATTAGTATCAACGTAGATAGTTATAATAACCGAGAAATAGTTATTTCGTATCTGAAAGTATACAAGTATCGTAAAGTTGTTAGCATGTTATTGTTATAGTAGTATACTAATGTAGATCTTGAGTTATACTTAGGATTCTATATATATTTTGTGTGCGATATAGTTCCAAAGTTATTCTCGGAAGTTCTATATGAAATTGATAAGTATGTTGTTATTGTTGGTTTTATGTCAAGATAAAACCAGGTATCTTGTATGTTATTGTTGGTTTTATGTCAAGATAAAACCTGTATGTTATTGTTGGTTTTATGTCAAGATAAAACCTGGATTTACCTCAAGATATAGCTGTTATACTGCCTAAATGTTATGAAGTTAGGAGTAATGTTTAAGAGCATAGTCTAATAACTTAGGGTTTTAGACACGAAAATGCTTTTGTTGTTAGGACTATAGAACGCCGTCAAAGTCTACATGAGCTACCTCATTCATCAACTAAGATTGGGGATCTTAGTGGAAGTCCTCTGACCTGTAACCGTTAATCCCGTATGAGCGAGGAAGTCGTGTATGAATAAGATACGGGTTGACGACCCCACTCGTGGTTGTTAATTACAACCCAAGACAAGCGAGTGACGATCCGTTCCTTTTATTTGTTATTATTCCGACGTCGATGAAGTGCGCGATATTGTTTCTCATGGTAAATCATGAGTGTATTGTTTCTCATGGTAAATCATGAGTGTGTTTTATCAGAGGTTTTGTTATCAAGCAACGGTTACAGACTCATGGTAGCAACTTGTTAGAAACATTATACTTTGTCGTATACAAGTATTAATGTTAAGTATAAGTTTCCCCCTACTTATACCCTATGTACTACTTGTATATTAAGTAGATAATTATACCTAACACACATACTCGTATAGAACTGAAATTGATTTATACGTAGCGGTTTTACTCGTATAGAATTGAAATAAGATTTATACGTAGCAACTTTCATTTGTATGAAATTACAAACACTTATATTCATAGTATATGAGACTTATAGGTAAACTACTTATTTGGTAAGTAAAATTTTATACCTAGGATATATATACTAAACGTTGGAGAGTCAAAATGATACTTTCAAAACTATACTTTTGAACTTGGAAAATGTATTATTTTATGGAGTCAAAACCTGTGAACTCACCAACTTTATGTTGACGTATATTTTAAATTTCATGTGTTTTCAGGAAGTTGATAACTATGATACGAGAAATGACGTTACACCGCCCGTTGTTTCTGCCGACGGCCGGGGTGTGACAGATTGGTATCAGAGCTATTAACTATAGTGAATTAGTACTTTCTTAGGAAAGCACGACTATAGTTTAGGGCTTACTCTGTTAGGTTTAGGTATATCCCTTAACCTACAAATAAAAAGTATTAGTAATTATACTACTGAAGGACTACTTACGGGAGCGGTGACAAGGATAGATATGTCGATTTGGGTTGCTGGATTTCAGAACGGCTATATGCTAAAATGATCCTGCCCACCGACTGTCCTGACTGGCCGGTGCCTTATCAGCTAGACCTGAAGTAACAAACAATAATTAATAATATTCGTGAATACAACAAACACAAAGACATAGAGTTATGTATGAACTTAGTCCCGCGATGAGAACACATGTATATAACCCAAAAATA